CTAAATACCAGGACACCACGGCTGCTATGAGGACCCCAAAGAAATTTTGTTAATATCGTAAAAAAAAAACGGAGACAATTGTCGTTGGACATCCAACCATTCATGCTTGTTACATCCATTGGTACAACACTATTATTTCTTTCCACTTTCAAGCTTGCACATCTTGTTCAAATTCATACGCAGCTGCTCTAAATGTTCAAACTGTGGTATGATGGAGTCCCTGATGGCGCCCATCTCGGGCAAAAGATTGATTACTCTGCCATCATCCAGGGGGATATTGGCATCAATGGACTGCCTTGATGAGAAAATGCCAGCTCGCCACCTCTTGGTCTTCTCAGTACGAACTGCGGTTGTTTTATGTATTACCAATGTTTGGTAAGCAATTTTCGCTCAAGGATTTCTGGTGAAAGATCTGAATTGTTCAAAAATTCTTCTCACGCAACGCCACCATCAGTTCATAAAGGTTGAAATATTTTATTTTGTTCTTTGACTTTGTGTTGCTGTCATCAGGAGTTAGCATCTTGGATCCCGAGAAGGGCCAGTCCCTTTGTTACCAGAGTGCCTCTAATTCACGGTTCATTCAAATGAAAGCTTTCAGTTTCTAATATGAAGAAAAACGTGTAAAGAATAATCTGTTTAAAACTCGTTACACGCGGGGAATAAATGAAATCTCAAGTACAGCTTGTATTTATCGATTGCCCCGTTAACAAAATTAACATGTAAGATGTTTCAGATTAGTGTATTTGACATTTATTACGATAACTAACAAGTACTCAATAATAGTTTTAACATCATTTTTGGCTTATATCCACGAACTTCCATAAAAGTTAATGCTAGCTACTACGCGTCCAAATTATCGCTTATTTCCCATGGCGCTTATTTTTATCTCATCCAAACTTTTTATATACACTGCGGGTGTCGACAAAATTACTAATTTATACTCTCTTGCAGTTCATTCGTTAATAACTGTGCTCCCTAAACTTTTTAACTAAACCTGCCATGCAGAAAGCGTCATAAAATCTAGGACAAAGCTTAACCTTTGATTACATAAATTATTGCACGCCAGTTTTTTGACCAGGCCATATGGTCATCAGAAACATATTTTTTCTAATCTTCGGGTATCTATTTAACCGCACGATACTCAAACGTACTTAGGACAACGATGTGGCACAAATGACAAAGCAGCTAGTAAAAACATTGATTATCACATTCAACCTAGTACTACACTCCTGCGTCCAAACAATTACCATAAATAAAATGAGATATCGTAGTGTCATGTATGAGATTTTGCCTCAGCTGCGTTTCTCTTCTCGGCACTAATTACGTTGAAAAGGTAAGTGTCTCATAGATGGCGCTGTAGCCAAACATAACCCTTTCAGTACCTCACCTTACTCAAAATAAAAATATATTTGTAAAAGAGTCGAGTAAAGGAATATTATTATTATTTTATGAATATATAGTCGGCTACAGCCTCATATATGAGATGCTAACCTTTTAAAAGTAGCGCAGAGAGCATAGATGACGCTACGGTATCTCATTTTATCTAGGCTAATTTTTTGGACGCGGAAATAAATTATTAGGTTGGCTATCTTCAGAGAGTATACGTTAATCGATGGTAAAACCGAGAACATGCAAAGAAGATATTCAACGATTGTGTACAGGGTGTTTCTTATTAACGTGCTAATACCCCCGGATATGATTCCTCGGACAATTTTATGAAGAACAGCTTTTATGAACTTATGTCCGCTATAGCTTCAATTTTCTACTAAAGGGTGTCAAAGTATTAAAAAAAATCGAAGATACTTTAAATATATAACGTTTAATTTTAACGTTTAACATTTGTCTTATGACACCTTATACAAGAAATTGATACGTAACTAATATTTTTAACGCGTCTTTTGCAGTTACCATTTTGTTGTTTTACTCTAAAACGGTGCGTCTGAGGAGAAGACCACAAGGGATGATCAGGCTCACTGGAAACATATCAGTAGTGTATTTTCTGTGAAAAATATCACAACAGATGTTTGCAGGTACGCCACAGGTGGCTCAATATAAATTTTTATTCGCAACCATTTTAGCATATAAAATAAGAAAACAAAATGCTTCCAGTAAACCATCACTTTTCATCCAGACATACCCACATTGGACAGGATCCACTGTCATCCTGACTTATTTACAAGATATTGGGTAACTCACATCATTTGCATACGAATTTCGACCCATAAAAACCATAAAGTCCGGTCACTTTCCTTTATTTTCCTCGGTATAACACCGAATAAAAATGTCCAAATTACCCAATTTTTTCCACGTACGATATAACGATACCACCTCCTAAAAACTATATAGCACTTCATCGTTTAAATATACGGCCATTTATTTTCGACAAAACTTTCTCGGAACGCTTGTAAAAAACCCGCCAGCCCTATTTGTCCCAAACAAAAATAATGCCTGCAAAAAAATGCAAAGCTCGGCGATATCCTGCGTGAAAAACAATTTGCGGGAATATATATGGGGCTATTCTCCTCCTGAAGCAATTTTACACGCATTTTATTATAGTTCCTATAGAGGCAGTATATCTTTTATTACATGGGGGGTTGCTTCCTTTTATATAGCTACATATGATGTTTCTGGGTTAACACAGATTATGATGACTGATATCGAGGGATGGATTACAGCCGTGTGTTTGAAGTAAGGTCTGATTTTGTAGCACCTGACTGCTGCTGTATTTAAAAAAAAATCATAAAATTATTTCAGATTAGTTTCAAGCTTGTAATCTTTACTTTTGCCATAGCAGCACCCTTTTACAGATGTTTCATAGCCAATATTCGAGTCGATCATTTCAAAGACCACCTGTCACGTTTTTTTCAAAATGGGATTGTAACAACAAAATAGGTCACTTGACAACACGACGGCTGGTACCTGAATGAGTCAATTCAAAAACAGCACCAGGTCCTTGATTTGTTTCCTTTTCATATTTATGTGCTATATGCAGCAAATTACCAAATATGAATTCACCAACTACAAAAATAAAGTTTTTTTGTTTCCTACCATTGACTCAATCCTCCACAATTGTATGACTGGAAAAAGTCCCTGAAACATACGCTGAATATTTCAAAAAGCTGTTCGTAAAGATAGTATGAAACTGGAATTGCACTCACAACATCTATCTTGTAAATTCAATTTTTTTATAGAGAAAATATATTTTGCAGTCTGGTAGTAAAAAAGGACGTGGATTCGACTACAACCGATTACTGATTCTTGAAGAAGATCGAATGAATTGGTCTATGCACGTTTTCACGATGGCCGATCCATGGATCGTATATAAAACGACATATTCGATTTTCTCGAGGTGTTCGCTTTGTCTGGGTTGAAAATTAAAACGTGTGACATGTTGACAAGTTGATATTCAAGTGTAATTTTCTATAATAATCAAAGAAAAATACGATAAATACGATTCTTTTGCTCGAGTTATATACCACTAACCTTATTAGTTGCTCAAACAACGTAAGTCAAAAACAGTTTTTCAGTCTCTTCCATTATTGTTGTTATTAATAAACTGACATTTCAATGTTCAATGTTTTAAAATTCAAATACTGTATTAAACCCAAAAAAGATCTTCAAACTGTCTTATCTGTCACTGAGACAGTTTTTATTGTCTGTTAAAATTCAAGTAGTTAGGGCACCGGTTCAATTGTTCCTGAAGCTTTTTGTGGTAGCACCTTTTTGCAGATGTTTCATAGTGCTTTTCACACAGTAGTCATTTATACTTTCTCTTCCATTTTGAACACTACCTAGAAGAAATAGCCGCGTTACTGGATTTTCTAATATTATATTCATCGTTTTATTCGGGAGTAGTAGCAGATTGAAGCAGGCGAATCAAAACATTCCCTGAGGTCATGCTTTTATGCATACATATGCCGCACAATTAAAACTTGGAGAGAGTTTTCCTAGCGAACATTTCCAATTATAAGCCTGTTTTCCATTTGTTGCTTTTGGCAACCGACGTCGAAACAAAAGCCGATCGGCAACCTTCCGCCTCGACGCCACGGCTCACTGGATTTTTTAAATCGAGAGGAAATTCCATAGACGTGTAGTAGGGCTCAATGAAGCTGTAGAAAATATTTCGCCAATGTTTAAATAGCTTAGAGAAGTACAAAATTAATGGAATATTAAAAATACTAGCACTAGCAGGATGCTAGTATTCTTTTTTATGAGCACACAAGGTGCATTCAGAAATACTGATTCTATGCATCATTATAAGCAAACTTGGGTACTACCTTCAAGACTGTATGTACACTGTCCCTCCCAACGCAGTTTCGAGAACGCATTGTGAATAATCGTTTACATATCCTGGACACATGGCCTATTTAAAACAAACAAAAGGACTACCTATATGCCAACGAATTTTGTTCATCTGAGCTCTCCTCCATTATCGAATTCTCAGCCTGTAAGACAAGCGCATCACAATTCTACTTCACATTCTATATGCTCTACATATTACCATTGATAACTAAAGAAAATGCATTTTATGGGCGAAAAAGCAGAGCTCTGAGAGCGATATGATTCTCAAAACATAAATTGTATCCTCAGAGAACTAATAGGGTCTTGTTCTGGTATTATTACAAATGTTCTTCTTAGGAAGACGTTGTGGACAACAGAATTTTGCCGATTTTTTTGAGGTATTCCTATTTTTTCCTCAACTGTGCGAATGGTCTGTTCCTAATGTGTCTTAGAGAATACACACATGACATGGTGACTATTGAAAATTCAATATTTTTAAATTTCCTTATCGCAGCGCCACTGAACGAATTCGTAACAGATCTGGTGAAACGCGTCCAAAACACACCCGTTGGAGCGCGTTTTAATAAAAGCAACAGCGCCTTGGCTCGTGAAGCAGCCGATGTGAAACAAAATACCTTGTTTATGCGAATGCTTTTGACAACTGACGTCCTCCCTTTGTGTCTACGAACACGACATGTTTTTCGTCCTCTTTATGATAATACAACCGGTGCGGTGACGTGACGATATATCCCACAAGGTAGTGTCTTGCTTCACTTCACTAAATTCATATAACCTAGTAGAAAACGCATTCAAACTACGTAAAAGGAAACAGTCAAGGATAGGTATGTCTCCTAATTGTCAAAGTCTGTAGTGCCAATTTTTTTACAGCTCCGTCATTAAATTTGTGTTTTTAGTGTTAAGTTTTAAAAATGCGAGCGTGTACAGGCGATTTCAAGTCATGGTACTTCTTACATGATTTGCAAATAGCGGCACGTGCCTAATGAAGGTAGATGCTTTCATATACAGGGTGCGTCATCTATTACTTTTTTTTCTATTTGAAAAATCAAGACGCTTTTTACGAGGTGAAATCGAATTTTTTTATTGATAAATGAAGGTTGGTTTATGCCATTTATGTATGAAAAATAACATCAGTCATGTGACCACCGCGGCTTCGATTACAGGCCAACATCCGAACAACTTTTCAATGACTTTTCCCAGAATAATCGGCTCTATGGTCACAGTTTCAGTCCGAATATTGCGCTTTAGGTCTTGAATTGTCCGGGGACCATTCGCATATACTTTTCCTTTCAAAAATCCCCAAAGAAAATAGTCAAAAGGTATTAAGTCGCACGATCTCGGGGGCCAAGTGGCATCTGAATTTCGCGAAAATTATGCGGTCTTGAAATTTCGTGTGCAATAAGACGATTGTTTGGCGAGATGTGTGAGCCATTGCTCCGTCTTGATGAAAGCACAGCTCGTCGGCACCAATACGAGCCAATTGTGGCCACAAAGAGTCTGTTAACATGCCGCGATAACGTTCCCCGTTGACGGTGATGGCATTTTCTTCGGCATCTTCAAAGAAGAATGGTCCAACGATGCCACCAGCCCATAATCCGCACCAAACAGTCACTTTTTCAAGATGGACAGGTTATTCATGATATTGGTGTGGATTTTCAGCCTCCAGAGTCTGCAATTTTGCTTATTTACGTACCCATTGAGGTAAAAATGAGCCTCATCAGAAAAGAGCACTTTGGCCGAAAATCCGTCTTCTCTTTCCAGCATCCAATTAACAAAAACACGCCGCTGTTGATGGCCTGCCGGCTTTAATTCTTGTGTTAGTTGGATTTTGTATGGATGGAGGTGAAAATCAATGTGTAAAATCCGGCGTAAAGTGGTCTCAGTAATTTCCAATTGTTGCGAACGGTGCCTAGTCAAGGTGGTTGGATCTTCTCGCAAATTTTCATTCACTGCGGCTATGTTTTCACAAGTACTAGCTGGACGAGCATGTTGGTATGGTTTACGACCTTCAGCTGTTCAAAACGATGAACAATCCAACGAATTCCAGCCTCTGTAGGGCGTCCATGTCGGCCAAAACTAGTGCGAAGTTAGCCAAAAGTATTTTTTATATTTCGACCGTTTTCGTAATAAATTTGGATAACCAAAACGGTTGTTGTGTTGTAAAAGAATCCATGACTATAAATGGCATACATTTGACAGTTCATTTATGCCTACCATGACTTTTGACTCACATGGTAACACATAAACTTATAGGTAAAAAAAAGTAATAGATGGCGCACCCAGTATAAGTATTATTATTATATTGATACAACGCTGTCAGTTTGGTGAGCATTAGTAGACAGATGAGTCAAAAGTGTATACTTTATCTGAAGTCACTTGAAACACTGTGAAATACCGGGTGCGTTTTATATATCTATATTTAACACGCTCTGTTGCTGCAAAAATCGCCAAATTACGCAGCAAATATCCCCCGTATAAGATCAAAGGCAGTTTCACCGGTCCACGTCGAGTAAAGCACGCCTATGCGTGGACATAGCCAATGAGAAAGCGTGTATTTCAGAGCTCCGAACAAGTGCAGGTGGCTACTGAAAATTGAAACAGTTTAGCCAGTGCCGTGTAGCGGTTTTCTTTAGTCTGTCCGTGTTTTTTCATAGATTTTATTAGTTTGTGTGTTTTTGACTTTTGAATACTCAGTTTACTTGTTGATTTAATTGTTGTGTTGATTGTTCTTGTGTGTCCTAAATATGGCTCTTTGGAGACCTTGGGAAAATGCTCCAAGTCACGAGGAGATGGTTGATGAACCTGTGCAGGCAGAATTCTTTCATAAAGATTTAGAGGAACAGACCCAAAGAGTAATCCTAAATATGTATGATTGTCTGAAAAACGAAAATCCAGATTCCTCGCAAAATCAAATTTTAAACAGAATTTGTATCCTGACAAAAATCAGTCGGTCTACCATTTATCGGGTTATAAAAAGGGGAGATGTAGTCAACCATTCCTTCCACAGAAAGCGCATAGGGCAAAAATTAAAAAGAATAGACGTGGGTTTTCACGAAGATATTCGTCGTATAATATACGGATTTTATAAAGAAAATTTGGTGCCCACGTTGGAAATGATACGGGATAAATTAAAAGATTATCCTGAAGATTTTTATAATTACAAATGCTTAACCTCACTGCACTGTATTGTAAAACTGTGTGGTTTTCAATACAAAAAATTAGATAAAAGAATGGTGATTATGGAGTCGTCTCGAATCGTTGAATTGCGCCAAGAATTTTTGCACAAAGTTAAAATCTATAGAGAGCAGAAAAGAAATCTGATTTACCTGGATGAAACGTGGTATGATACCCATGATGTTGTGCAGTACGGCTGGGTTGACGACAGCAACAAGTGCATTTTAAATGCACCATGCAACCGTGGAAAACGAATCATTATTCTCCATGCTGGCAGTGAAAATGGATTTATACCTAATGCCTTGCTGTTATCTGCCAAAAATATCAAAGAATCATGTGCCGACTATCATGAGGACATGACCTCCGACTTATTTGAAAAGTGGATAGAGCAGCAGTTAATACCAAACATTTCCCCAAATTCAGTGATTATTATGGACAATGCGCCATACCATTCCCGACAGAAAAACAAAATTCCGAATACAGGCACAAAAAAACAAGACGTTATTGATTTTATGAAGGATAAGGGACTGGAAATACCACAAAAATCAACCAAAGCCATATTATTGGATCTTATTAAAAGACAAAAATTTAAAAAAAAATATGTTGTTGACAATCTGCTTCAGCAAAATGGCCATGAAGTATTACGTCTACCTCCCTATTACTGCATTTTTAACCCGATTGAGTTGGTCTGGGCTGCTTTAAAAAAAAAAGTAAGAAAACATAATCAGACCCGTCAATTAAGTGAATCGCTATTGGCCACAATAAGAGATGCAGTATCTCATATTGCTGCCAGAGACCTATGGAAGCAGTGTTCTAGGCATATTATTGAAAAATAAAATGAATATTGTGTTTTGCCTCCTGTAAATCCCGTTGTAATTCCTCTACAAGATGACTAGCGACAGCTCCGAAGGCGAGGATGATATATAAATACCTATAATGTAAGTCTTTATATACCTTTTTATATACCTACCAGCTATGTAAATATTTGCCTATGTCAAACGTTGGAATTCTGTAATTTTTCCATTTCTTAACTTTCAGTCAACATAAATTAAACTCCCAATATAAGTATTTTTTATCCCAAATCAAAAAAATAAGATAGTAAAATCCATTAATTGTGATATAAAAACATTATTATTATCGTTCTAAATAAATGACCGCACGCCTATGATACGTCATGAAATTACAAAGGACGCGCCGACCAAAGGTTTTTATGCTATTTCAAGTGACTTCAGATAAAGTATACACTAGAACTACGCAAATATAGGCTTGGCTTCTTTTAACCTATTCGAATTCGTTGAGATTCCGATGATCCAACAGGACGTATACAGCATACCTTCTCAGGGAATTCAACGTTTATAAAATATTCAGATCCTCGATGGAGGAATCAGGAGCGGCGTCAAAAGAAAAATTCTGATCCGTCTCATTTCCTTTAACGTTCTCTAGACACCTTAATTTCCAACAAGTGATGGCTTGCTTCCACGGCGGCGGTGAACGTTAATAAAAAGATCGCATTACCTCCTCACAGGTGGTTGACTTTCAATTCGATTTGATGGCGGCGCTGCGGTGAATCACAGAACACGTACCGAATCGTTTCTAAGATTTCACGAACCTTTTTCATTGTGTTTGGTATTCAAATGGGTGTTCCGCTTTGCTTGAAATAAGGGATGATATTTTAAAGAAAAGCCTCGGAGAATGGGAAAGCAAAGGTAGTTTAAGTTGGTTTTTAGTGGCTTTAGGCTCCTGCTATTTTCATAAAGAGAAACTTCTGTATTCCAAATGAATGAAAAAAATTCAACACCAAGGTTTTTTTGTGAACGATAGCTCTGGCTAATGGGAGTAGTTCCTAGTGTCAAAAAATAAACTTGGACTCTCTTGAAGCCAATATACAATATACAAGGTTTTCCACGTAGGTCTGAAGCAAAAAAGTTGTCGTCAGACAGTTATAAAAATGTATGTTTACAGTACAATTGCAGGGAGTAGTTTGGCTAAAATATTTTCAAAATGGTGGCACTTATGCTTGTACCAGATGTAGAATACCCTGTAAATTACTCAGACTTTTGGATTCTACGTGAGATTATATATACGAGGGTGGTCCCAGAAGTACCCGGCCTGACCTAGAGATGGCGATAGTTGTTTGAAAAATATCATTGTATTAGAAAGTATGCAACCTATAAAGCATATGTGTCAAGTTTGAAGACGCCACGTTGTTTAGTATTTGTTTGGCAGCCATCAATACTGAACGTTTTCAGTGAATTTGTGAAAATGGAGAAAATTGGTCATCGTTATCGTGGTACAATACTTTTATTTCAAAGGCCTCAGCCCAACCAATATAAAAGCTGAACTGGATTCTACTCTGGGTGAGTCTGCTCCTTCGTTTACAACCGTAAAATATTGGGTAGCAGAGTTTGAACGAGGCCGTATGACGAGCATCGCAGTGGTCGACCAAATGAGGTGACGACTCCAGAAATGGTGAAGAAAATTCACAAAGCGGTACTGAATGATCGTCGACTGAATGTGCGCGAGCTAGCAGACATAGTAGGCATTTCAAAAAGTGCGGTACATCGCATATTATCTGAAAATTTGGACGTGAGAAAGCTGTGTGCAAGATGGGTGCCGCGATTGCTCACAATCGAGCAAAAACAGTGTCGTGAAGATGTTGCAATTGAGTGTTTAGAGAAGTTTCACAGCAACAAAGCAGAATTTTTGCGTCGTTTCATAACCATCGATGAAACATGGGTCCATCACTTCACTCCCGAAACAAAAGAACAATCAAAACAATGGACCCAAAAGGGACAACCGGCTCCAAAGAAGGCGAAAACCGTTTCATCTGTAGCCAATGTTATGGCGTCGGTTCTTTGTTATGCGCGTGGGATAATTTTCATTGACTATCTTAAAAAAGGTAAAACTATCAACGGCGAGTATTATGCGAACTTATTGCAACATTTGAGCGATGAAATCAAGCAAAAACGGCCGCATTTGGTTAAGAAGAAAGTGTTGTTTCATCAAGACAATGCACCAGCTCACAAATCCATTATTGCAATGGCCAAAATTAACGAATTAAAGTTTGAATTGCTACCTCATGCACCCTATTCCCCAGATTTAGCCCCCTCGGATTATTTTCTGTTTCCAAACTTGAAAAAATGGCTCAGTGGGGAAAGATTTGCCAACGATGGAGAAGTGACGTCGGCAGTCAATGGCTATTTTGAGGAGCAAGACAGTTCTTATTGAACGTCGCTGGGAAAAGGAGATTATGTTAAAAAATAAATACATGTTTTTACAAAATTTTGTGTGTTTTCTTCGTTGGGTCGGGTACTTCTGGGACCACCCTCGTACATATTTCATGTATATCGTCCTATACTTCAATCTAACCGTTTTTGAGATATATCCAGTTTTGCATCAAAAATGACCAATACAGATCAATTTTTTTCTCGTATTTTTGCCTCTGCCATGTGATTTGTAACTGGTTTCTTATACTATGGAATCTATATATTGTTAGAGTTTAATGCGGAGTTAATTAATAAACAGTACAGGGTGCTAAGCAAAACGACTCAAAACATTGCAGACTGAGATTGACGGTCATTTGACCATTCTGTTTACTGGCAACGGCTGAAAAGATGATCTTCCATCTGCCCATCTTCATAGTTTATATACAGGGTTCATTCAAATTCTCAACAGCTTCTAGTACTTACATTTCGCAAGGATATGATTCTAAATAACAATTTGCGATTATTTTCTGATCGTGTATCAAAAATTTGTTACATTATTTTTCGTAATAAGGTGTCATGTTCTTTTCAAAAATCTTTTTAACTGAACCATTTCAAAATACAAATTACCATGTTCGGAACAATGAGTAGTAGAGTAGTATATCTGTTGACAGTTTATGTGGAGGTTTGCTAAAACAGTCTCTAGCAGGTCTGGGTCACTGCAGATATATGCAATCAGATCTGAAGATTCATTCAAGCTGCTTTCGCTCGTGTACCTTTTCTCCACTGTTGCCAATCCTCGATGATTTTCAGTCCCCTAACACAATCTAGTCAATTTTCAAAGAATACAAACAACCCGATTTCTAGATACATTTCATGTACAGTAATGGATAAAAGTATATAGACATATAGTATTAATATTGTGCTGTATTTCTTTTTTAACTTGTTTCATTAATACACCAACCTGTATAAATAATTCGTTATTGCTGAATACTCCCTTATACATAAAGAAATTCAATAGACTCCCTTCAATAAAAAATTAATTGATAAAAACTGGAACTATGAAGGACAAAAATATATAGACAAAGTAAAACAATTATAGAAAAAAGAAGCAAAGTTCATTGAATTATAGAAAACGAACCATGTTTGTGTTAATATTTTGTAGCATAACCATTATTATCAATCACCGCCTGGCATCGTCTCGGCATAGATTGTAGAAGTTTCTTGATATAAGATTCATCAATCTGTCTCCACTTTTACTTTAAAGCGGCAGAAAGTTCATCCTTTTTCGAATAATTTTTATCTCGTATTTGCTCATCTAAGTATTTCCATAGATTTTCAATGGGGGTTTATATCGGGAGAATGTGAAGGCCATTTGAGAACTGGTATTTTTCATCCAGAAAGAATTTCTTTGCGAGATTTGAAGTGTGCTTCGGGTCATTATCTTGCTGGAAGATTGACTTAAGGGCATATTGTCTTCCATACATGACATGATTTAGAATGTCTGTGTATACAAACTTATCCATAATGCCATCTATTCTATGTAAAGGTCCCATCCCAAACCCCGAAAAGCACCCCCAAACCATAACAGACCCGCGTCCATGTTTGACAGTGGGCAAAGTGTACTTGGGGTTCAATCTTTGTCCACTAGGACGTCTAACGTAATGAACACCATCTGATCCAAACATATTGAACTTGGATTCGTCACTGAAACATACCCTTACGGTTTTTCCTCGAGATTAGCGACTTCTTACTCGGGCGACGTGCAAATTACTTCAAATCATTTAATCTTCTACTTATAGTTTTCGTAGAAACACTGACAATTCCTTTTATCTCGATTTTGGCTTTTATTTGTCTTCGGGTTTTAAACGGATCTTTGGACGAAATTACTTTTATGAATCTAACTGATCTAGCATTTAGTTTTCTAGGCCGACCACTTCTCTTAGAGGCTTCCAAGATACCTTTTTGTTTATATCTGTTCAATATTGCCCAAAGCTTCAAATGTTTGGCAATGTCGACTTGACGTTGACCATCTTTGAATAACTCAATGATCTTAGTTTTCACATCGAAAGCAATTTCTGGACCACGCGGCATGGTCCTAAAATCACTCAACTTATTCCACAATACTTGATGAACACAAACTAATCCTCTTCTTCTCTATACAGACTTGTATTGTGTTCATTGCAGATAATGTAAAAACAAGGAATTTAGTTTTTTCTACTAATAACGCATTTGTTTATGGAGCAATGAAGTATGAATTCGTTTTCTGAAGGTATTTAGATAAATATTCATATTTGTCTATATACTTTTGTCCATTACGGTATATCTTGTTATGTATTGACATATACACGATACATCAGATGTTATTTTTTATAGATCTAAACATATAATTTGACGATATATTTGAGATACATGATGATAGCATAGATGATCTAGGACAAAAGACATTTAAATTTAAGATCGGTGACAAATAAGTAGACATGCTATGTCTATTTAACGCAGCATTATTCCACAAAAATCCTTAATAAATGTGTGTTAAATCCAGTTTACCCTTTGTGTTCATTGCCAGTTTCATATTTAAAAAAAATGCGACATTCCAAAAGTTGAACGCCGTTCTATATGACTCCATTTTCATTGAAATTTGTTGTTAGTATTTTCTTAAGTTCTGCATCTTCACGCTGCTTTCAAAGCTTCGCAAAATTGACAACACTGGCTGTTTTTTTCAGATGCATCGGCCATTGATAAAACGAACCAAGACCGAACCGGGTCCGTCAGACCATTAATAATGCATGGAACGCTGCAAGCACAACCAAGTCATTGATTTGAGAAGTATGCGATGTTGTTTTGGAATTCTATTGTTGTCTTATCAACAAAAAGAGTGAGTACATCCAGATAAATTATACATATATATTTTTAAATGCCAGGTATCTAAAGAAACACGAATTGCTCTGCAATGACACAGCACATCGATCATATAAGTTCCAAGCATGTTATTTATCGATGTAGCTTTTCATGTGCACGGCAAAGATACAGGCTGATGATTGAGTACTCCATGAGATATTTGACATATTATCCTCCTATTTTTCACGAGCCGTGCTAAACTGTAGTAATTTTTATGTTTAGTTAGTTATATAAGGTGCTTTGAAAGTTAGAACTTTTCATTTCCAAAACAACTAAGAGAACGTAAAAGAGAAATTGGTGAAGAGTACTCACTATTCATCTAATGAGATATCAAATATTGCTTCGTCACATGTTGCGCGTAAATTCTGTTTGAAGTTCCGTTCTATTCAAAAACACAAGTTTATTAACTTGTTTGCAATAGTCGAGGCTGCCTCTAAGTCTTCAACTGTGTTCCCCTTGAAGGCCTCTGCACGATATAGACAAACCCCGCGGTTCTGGGTTCTGAATACCGAAGTATCAATGATTATAGCATCTTGAAGACATCGTGAACTAATATCAAATCGATAGTTATTAAAATAGATATATTCCAATTTCGTTTTTTTTACATTTGTGTCATTCAATGTTTTTTAGAAATTGTCAAAGGTTACCAGGGAAATTTCCTTATTGTCGCCATAACCTTTACGCTCTGTAAAGGAAAGTTCCAGTCTTATGGGAGAGAATCATGATCATGGCAATTATAAAGAAGTGAAAAATTGATATGGGTTTTGAACAGTCATGAGAGAAATCTATTTCTAGTAAAAACAGAGGAGCGGTTCAATCAGTCAGTTCTTGATGTTAATTAAGTTAGGATGAGGTGCAGATAAGTGGTAGCTCATATAGAAGAGAAAAAGGCAGATTAATGATAATACATCGTGCTGATGCGAAAGAGACTATGTGGAAGCTCCTCTGATAAGTCAGACTGCCCTCTTCAGAGCCCCATCGAGTATGGATAGCTAGCGCAGTCAAGGCTCCTCAGGTACAGTGTTTGTCCGGAAAGTAATAGGACCGAGTCGATTTAAAAATATTTATTGAGCCAATCGTTACAATTCTTTAAAAACTTTCAAAATAGTCTCCTTCTGCGTCGATGCAGCGCTGCCTGCGCGATTTACAAGCATTGAAGGCGTCACGGAAGGCATTCTCCGGAATAGCCTTGAGAGCCGCGGTGCATGCTGCTTGGATCCCCTCTGTCGACTCAAAATGCTTGCCTTTCATCGGCCTTTTCAGGCGAGGAAACAAACAAAAAGTCCGGGGGGCCACATCTGGGCTGTAGGGCGGCTGCGGAAGCCTTGGGATGCCGGCCTTGGTCAGGTAGCTGTTCACAAGAAAGGCGGTGTGAGCCGGGGCGTTGTCGTGGTGCAACTTCCAGTCGGCTGCGATGTCTTGTCGGACCCGACTGACCCTTCGTTTGAGTCTCCTGAGCTCTTCCACGTAAAACTTGGCGTTGACGGTTTGTCCAGCAGGAACAAATTCATGGTGGACGATGCCTTTGATGTCAAAAAAGACAATGAGCATCGTTTTCACTTTGGATTTGCTCGTGTGCCACTCGGAAGATTGCCTCTTTGTCTCTGGATCATACTCAAAGATCCACGACTCGTCACCTGTGATTACGTTATTCAAAAATTGGGGGTCACTTTCACACATGTTCAAATTTTCTTGGCACACTTCCACTCGCCGCAATTTCTGGTCGTCAGTGAGGACTTTTGGGACCATCTTCGCGCACACCTTGCGCATGTTCAACTGCTGTGTCACAATGTCATGAACCACAGATTTTGGTGAATTTAATATCTGGGCAATTGAACGAATACTTAGTCGACGGTTTGAGTTCAAAACTTTGCGCACACGAGTCACATTATCGGTGTTTGTCGAAGTCGAAGGTCTTCCAGCACGATCTTCATCAGCGACCTCTTCCCTGCACTCCAAAAAGGCCTGGTGCCACCGAAACACACCACTTCTTGCTAAAGCAACACATGGATAAGCCTGCTTGATCATATACAACGTCTCTGTCGCAGATTTACCGAGTTTCACACAGAATTTAATCGCGTACCTCTACTCTAACGAACGCTGCATTTTCGGCTTACACCACTCACAAAAACACGTCGCGCGAAAATGCCTGTCCTGACTCTCCAAGTGCTCGGAGACAACTGACCAGCAGCTCATTCGTTAGCTAGGAACGCCCTCTACCGAATCCAGTCGGCGCGAACGCTCCGAAGTACAGTCATGGCGGAAGAAAATGATTCCTATTACTTTCCGGACAAACCCTGTATATTAGTAGTGTTTCAAGTAACTTCTTATATATACCTTGAACAGATTGAGAAGGTTAGATGTTAGGCATTGAATTCTTTTTTCTTTGTTAATTATTTAATTGTTTGTTAATTCTGAATGCGAGAAGTATCTTAAAAGAAGAGTCCACCAATCAGGCATTCAATTAGATTTTTTTTACACAGCAAAACGCCCAACATGGTTCTTGCATTCCCCCATTTTTTTCGGCATACTTCTCTTATACTCAATGAATTAAAAAAGAATTGCTGTGGAATTCATGTTTCGGGTGTTTTATAAAGCAGAGCGATTGGAATCCTGGAAAAAATAAGTTGACATTGAAAGAACTCTAATTTCCACTTCATGTCTCATTCATGCTCATTATGTGGGCCCCTACAATTTCGTTGCCATATACTAAAGCCGTTACATGTAAGCGCCCTCCCTTGGTCTTGCCGATAAACCTGACTTCAGTAATGTCTAATATATTTCAACCAGGCCCCGTACTTGCTAATAACCAGCGGTATTTGCTTTCTAGATGTTCCCACAGTAGCTATCTGGATAGCCTGGCGGCAATTCGAGATGATATCTCATTACAGAGCGATCGACCGACACACAGAGCAGGTTGTTACCAACAGCAGCTCCGATGTGATCACCTTATCTAGGAAATCCTCCAATAATGCTGCGTGCTTACCGGTTACAACACATGCACGTTTAGCCGCTAATCCGCTTACCAGGATATCTAATTCTCGATTGTGAACTGACCTCACGTAATTAGATGCCGTACGTTTCTGTAAATTCTTTGTCTTCAAATATCATAAATGGCCAATGTTATGTTTTGAAATTGATATTAATTTTGAAATGAGTATCACTAGATCGCAGCGGTGCGTCGTGGGAATAATCAGTGCACTTCTTAGCCCTAAACAAATAGTCATAACACCATAACACAATTAAACTGACTATAAATTGCATAAGACTTCGTTACCGCTTGATTAAAGATCACTGCATATAAAATGACACCGAGAGCATTGCAATAGAATAATCGGTGCGACCTTAGTATTGACTGATATACGATACACTTCTCAAGTACACTATGCCTGAAAAACTATTAGACAATGCAGTCCTGTAAGAAAATTTGTGATTTTGCTCACGTTTATTGTAAGAATAGTTATTATTAAATTGAAATTATTTTATAAAAATTTAATTACCGCCTGAATATTGCATGAGGAGGAAAGAAAGTTGCTCCAGTTTGATATCAATATGCGATTCTTTGCAATCTCTTTGCAATGAAAAAAAAAGCAAATCTATTAAATAAGTCCTTCATGGTAGCAACTCAAGATATTTTGACAGCAATGTGCTTTCTGTAAATAAACTAAAAAAAATAAATGTTCTAACTTAGCGAACCACCTCTGTGGTAAGTCGTTTCTAACTACCTCAAAAAATACTCATTACTCAATAAAATTTCTTAAATATGAAGAGACGGTCAAGAACAAAGGTCACAATTGTTAGGACAATGAAGGCAAACAACAGAGATACCTCATATTCTTATTTCTAGCTTGAAAAGCCTCATCAGAATGAAATCCTACAAGTTGATCTAGGCTGAAAATTATATCTGCACCCTGAATGCGCTTAAGGTGCACAAAGCAAAGCATATGGTACCGATGATGCTCAAAAAGTATTCAATCCGCCATGATACTGACAATTCATAATTGTATCATCATCAAGAATAAACCTGTGCATCCTTCAAATCAATCGAATTCATGTGATGAAACATTACTTTCTTGACCTCAGGGCATTTCACTAGAAAGGAGTTTCTTTTTTTCTGGAGGTCATCGACATAACTATCATACTATTCATGCTTACGTGCCTAAACACAACAAAAAACGGGGTATTAGATAAGCACTCAGGGGAAAAGCTCACGTGATTACTTCAATTAAACTAATGATACTAGGGCTAAGGGATAGAAGAAGTAAGCTCTGTCGGGATTTATTTCAGAAGATTTTTTGTAACGCTACTTTTAGTGGTAATCCATCATGGCGTGTAACTATAGATGTATTCAGGGTAGTTAAAATGAATACCGGCACGGGTATTATGTAAAAAACCTTTTATTAAAACATGTCATCTTGCAGGCTAGATAGTTTTTAGGGTGCAAACAGTCATTCCGCGTTTGCTCACTAGGATCGTTGTGGGCGTCCATCTATGGAGGAATGACTCAACTACACGTATTGTTGGTTGCATATATTTTGTGAAGCTGAGTAGTCTATAGCTTTCATCTCTGAGAAGAAAGTTGGTTGAATAGCAAGATCGAATCTGAATAATTATGTTTATTAGTCTGCATGTGTATCTATAAAATCAGTGATATTTGCCGTGTGAGAAAATCGTTACTGAATATGCTGCCAATGAAGTATACGTATATCTATTAGCTGTGCCCGATGGGTTATTTATATGTTGTGCTTTCTGATGACAGGTTATGTTCAAAGTTATAAATTACGATTTTTTACGTTTTGTGTTTTCAAAAACTTTGAGGAGAATTACGGCAAATCACCACTGCGCCCGCGTTGTGTGTAATTACTGTTAGCAAGTATGTGACTTGTAATTCGACAGTGTATAGTGAATAAAATTATTTCTTATTTCTCTCAGTTTTGAAATTCAGCAAATTTGCATATGTAATTCCCAGAATGGATAAGAAAAAGTGTGTGTGCGTTTCATCTAACATGATGACCACTTTCTTCTCCAGAACTCATATACAGAGGTCACTCTGATGACTTCTGCGAAATCGGCCGTTACGATTTATCCAAAGGCACAGTCATGAATGAGATGTTGCATCCACAGACGGATAACCAAGGGCATCTATCCCTGTGGGAAGTAATCTGAGGCAATCCAAAGAGATTTTCTGCGATACTCGGAGAAGAGCGAAAGCAATCTCAGGAGATCCTAGACAATCCAAAGGAACCCATGGCAATCCGAGCAGATACTAAGCAATCTAGAAAAATCCAAGGTAATCCAAGGAGATCTGGGGTACTTCAAAAGGAGTTTGGAGGCTATCTCTGTATCTGCGTATATATAGGCATATATACCTGCACCCATCTATAAAAGCCTTCCTATACGCTCATTTGGAGGAAGTATGTTCAAGCTATAGTAGGTCGAAAACCTTTGTTATATCAATAATTAATAATAACGTTGATTTTTCTAGATGCATAGATTGGCTTACTCCATTAGCGTACCATAGTATTGAATAATTTGATGACAAATGAAACACTCCATATAATATGCAGATGTTACTTGTCGATTGCAAATGCATACGAAATAATCCACCTAGGATAGCTGCTCAATCCTTCACAGTAACAGACCTATCGCAATAATTAATTCAGACAGCATTGCAGTGCACAGCGTGCTGTTAGTACGTTGGATAATAAAAGGAAACTCCTATTTTGACACGCAGCGTAACCGATCATCCAGCAACTGACGGTGTTTTGTTCCCCTTCAGATTCGTCCGCAGATAAGATCATCCACAGCTAGCGCCCATCAGCATAAACATGCTGCTAGTCAGCCTGCTTCAAGACTGCCGCGTATGAACCGAGTTCGCTGGCAAGTTCGTTGATTGAAAATCGTTTGTCAACTTGTCAACTATACGATGAGCTTAACGCGAGCATGGGCGTACTAACCTCAGGATTTTTGGGAATAACTTATAATTAAACTTATTCACCGACACAGCTTTCAACGTCAGTTCGGCGTTAATTTATGGGCTCATCAAAACATTAATTAGTCCATATGAATTGCCCGCCAACTTAAATGGTCAGTCATATCTTGCTTTTCTACAAAGGAGTTTGCATGAGCTGCTAGAGGATGTACCTTTGGACGTTCAAAGCCGCATGTATTTTCAATGCACTGCACGGGATGTACGGCGTTACTTAAACAGTGCCTTTCCTGTGCGTTGGATAGGTAGAGGTGAACACATACGATGACCTTCAAGGTCACCCGATTTAAATCCTCTAGATTTTTTTTATAGGGGAGTTTTGTTAGGGGATAATCTATACATCTGAATATACAAATGTCAACCAAGTGTGCCAGAAAATTGATGAAGCAAAAATAAAAATTATGGAAAACGCAAAATCACTTTATAAGAAGGTGTCGCTTGTGTGCAGAAAATAATGGAGGCCATTTCGAACATATTCTTCAAAAGTTAGTTAAATTAAAATATCTTCCTCATCTGTCGGTAAATCACCATAAAGAGCAAACACAATAGGTTCTGGACTTGTAGGTGGTAAGGACTCTATTGCGCTTCTTACGTTTATTGCGTCACAACAACGAATGTGACACGATACACTCATCGTAGTAAGCTAAGTTTATTCTACATGGATTAAAATAGTTTTTAAAATAAAATGAAATACAACCTCAATTCTTTTACCGCCCTCCAAAGTTGAGGGATGGGAGAGATTTTTCACAAAAAAAATTAATTTAAGAATTTTTGCATTGATTTCTAATAAGCTCTGTTAAAAAGTGACATAGCCATTGCTAAAACGAAGCATTCAGCTCATCTCAGAAAAAAAATCACAGTCCTAACCCTAATGGTTTATTTGTAATTGCGATTGAAAGTTCATCCATTCGATAGGTTTTGAGGCCCTATAAAACCTGACTTCCGCTGATCCACTACTAACTTACTTTACACGCTGTATAATATTTTTGTTATTTCAATAGTAGTCGATCCGGAAAAGTCCTAGCTTGCAGAATATTATACAGGGTGTTTCAGTGTATTGTTGCATAACTTTAAAATTCGATAGAACTTTTAAAATTAATGCATAAAGTCTATATAAACATGGGTAGAAAAATGAGTAGCTTCCGAAATACAGGGTGTTTAAATTTACTTTCTAAAATAGTTTTTTTAAATATTTCGAACAATATTTGATGTGAACAGTGAAAATTGGTATACAAGGGTTTTTTGGTACGACAAAACGAACTGTACCTGTAGTGTATTAAAATGACCGAAAAATTTTTCTTAGTGCAATTTTTACTGATTCTTCGCACTTTTCTGCATAAAAAAGCTCTCTTGTGAATTTTCGTTATAGTTAGCCGTTTTTGAGATATTTCGATTTTTAAGGTTCGATGCATTTTTAATTATTTATGATAAAATAACGTTAAAAAGTCAGTATCTCGATAATTTTTAGAAGTAGGCTGTGCCTGCAAATATTTTTGAAATTGAAAGCAGAATAAGGTTAAACGTCAATTAGTTGACGTAGTTTTGTTGTCTGTTGAAACCTGAAACGTTTTTTTGCAATTGTGAATCCACGAAATTTAGTTTCTTTTACCTGTTTTTTTTTTGTAAGTTTTATAAAAATGCCATTTTTATTCTCCAATCAAGAGTTAGCGGATATTCATTTTGTGTATGGCTTTGTAAATGGAAACGCAGCAGAAGCAGCCTGAGAAAGATTTCCAAACAGACGACATCCAACTCGCTCAGTATTTGTAAGAGTGCATCGCCAAATAATTGAAAATGGTTTTGGAAATCTCCAAAGGGATCAAAACATAAATTTTCGTCAGCGCAGATTTACCTGTATGATTCTGCGTGCGTTTGATAGAGATCCGACCACAAGTGTTAGGAGAGTTTCTGGTGCCTTGGGAATTTCAGCAAGCCATGTACAACCGTGTTCTTAGAAAAGACCATAGACGTCCTTACCATTTACAACCTGTGCAAGGACTACACCCAGGTGCCGGAGAACGAAGA